AAGGAAGGAAGGAAGGAAGGAGAAAGAAAGAAAGAAAGAAAGAGAGAAAGAGAGAGAGAAAGAAAGAGAGAAAGAAAGAAAGGAAAGAGAGAAAGAAAAAGAAAAGAAAAGAAAGAAAGAAAGAAAGAAAGAAAGAGAGAAACAAACAAACAAACAAACAAACAGGGTTTCACTCTGTTACCCAGGCTAGAGTGGAGTGGTGCAATCATAGTTCGCTGCCGCCTCAAACCACTGGGCTCAAGTGATCCTCCCATCTCAGCCTCCGAGTAGCTGGAATTACAGGCATGAGTCACACCACCAGTGTAAAGGGAATGAGTTTTAAAAGAGGTATCATGCCTTGGTCCCCGGTTCACCAGGGGCCAAATGAAGGACAGTGTAGGGATGAAGCTTCATGAATAGGCAGAGCTACCTCTCCCTACATGTGTGGAAGGAGGAGAGAGGAGCCAGAGCAGTGCTTCTCATCAAAAGGCCCTACAGGAGGATCCTGAGGCGTTGGCATCTGGTCATGATTTCAGACCTTCTTCAGGATCCATTAAGCAGACCTACCGACTGAGGGAAAAAGTAGGATTTAGGGTCAGGCAGAGAGTCCTGGTCCCCAGGGCCAGTTTCTGTTGAGCAGGAACATTCCCCCATAAGAGTGGCTCCTCTGAAGAACATGCCCTCTTACAACCTCCCCCAAAACTCTGTCCCCTCCAGGCTGCTATTTTTGTCTTTAGGGGTAGGGAGCTAATGGGAGGGAGCAGCCCCCCAGTGAACTGGGCAGGGGAAGAGCTAAGAAGTGAGCTCCCTTGGGTCAACAGCTGAGAACATCCCACTGAATCAGAGACTGCTAAGTGGCTCCTGGAAAGCTCTCCAGAGAGAATCCAACCCCGTTTGTAGAAAAGGAAACCCAACCAAAGACAGAACTTCCTGTCTGGTCTTGCAGAGTAAGGATGTTTCTCTCTAGGCTGGGTTGCTTTTCTTTACTCTGAACCAGAGAAACCAAGGCCACATCAACAGAGAAATCAGCTCCCTTATCCAGCCATTGCCTTCGACTGGCTCCTTCCTAGTGGGCTCCAGGGCCCGCCTCACTCTCTCTTTCCCCTTGCAATCTTAGTACCTGTAGCATCCCCCCTCCTGGGTGTGAGTGTCCCAAGAGCTACCTTCTCTCCACTTTTCAGTCCTGCACTCAGGGAGGCTCTATTTAACCACACCCACGTAGGCAGAGAAAGTTGCAGATGTCTGCAATGCTCCAGTTGAAAAGACCCTGGTGTTGAGGAAGATGTCAGACTGGGCTGATTTTAGAAAACCTTTCTCCTAACATTGTACCACAATGTTCTCCAACTTCCATATGGAAATGAAATTCAGTTTCTCAACAAGTCTTCTCTCACCTCTCTAGAAAGTCATGCTCTTCACTCCCCTCCCCACATAACAGGAGAGTTTTGCTGGTTTTACCTGGGCTGCAGATTCTACCTCCCAAGGAAATCCTAAACCTGGCTCAGGATTTGGTTCCCTGAGGAGGAGCCTTTTCAGTGATCAACTGGGGTTCCCCTACCTATTACCAGCCAGATCCAGCTTACTAAAAAAAAAAAAAAAAAAAAAAAAACTTTTTTTTTTTTTTTTTTTTTTTTTTTTTTTTAACCCATTAAACTCAAATCAGATTGGTAAGTTACTTGCATAAATAGCTTAGTTTGTAAACATTTAAAATACTTTCTTGAACGAACATATTTCAAAGGCAAATGTGTATGAGAGAGATTGGAGAAGGGAGAAGAATGTTTGGTGTTTATCTTTAGGGAAGAGGAAAACCTAGAAGTTTCATTTTCTGTTATATATTTGATTTTTGGGTTTTGGGTTTTGTTTTGTTTTTTTTTTTTACAATAAGTTTGCATTAATTTTAAGATAAGTAAGGTCAACAAAAGTCCACTTTGACAAAAAGCCCATGTAAAGGAAAACTAATTTGTCCTTCTTAAATGAAACATGAATGCCCACCAGTGCTGAAAGTATTGGAACCAAGAATAAAATGTGTGCTCGAGAAACCTGTGCTGAATTAAAACGGTTTGTGGTGATGAGGTTTAATGCAGAGGACCAGAAGGTCAGGGTGGCCTCTGAAGAAAGAAATAATGTAAGAGTGGCTGAGAAGTGGGGAAAGCTTGGGCCAAAATGCAGATGGCAAACAAACTGAAAGGCGGAAGAGACAAAGGCCTGCCCTGGGAATGGCTCAGCAGAGCTTGTAAAAACCCAGAGTAAGACATTCTGTCTATTCAAGGAAGTCACAAAGTTTTTTAAAGACCCGCGGTTACAGCCAATGAATGGAACCACTGGTCTTTTCAACCCAGAAGACCCCAGGAAGGTAGAAAATGAGCCAAGGAAAGGCCAGGCAGGGGACGTTGGGGAAAGGAAACAGGGATGGAGAATCAGAGACGGAAGTGCAGAGACAGGTCACCCAGGCGCCTGGAAACTGCCTCCATGGCCTTCACGGGAAACGGCCTCTTTCTACTCCGGATCCCAGACTGTGCTGCTTTGAAACTGACCGTCAGAGAACAGCGGCTGGAGGCGGACAGACGTCTGCAGTGGGAGCCGCAGTGGGAGGCCCTCCAGGCGTTCCAGGCAGGGGCAGGAAGACTGCCGGCGAGTCACCCGCGACCGCGAGTCACCTCACCAAGCCCTGAACTGGAACAGGAGTCGAGAAGTGTCGACGAGCTGCGGAGTTCCTTGCTTCTCTTGGCCCTGTCAGGTCCAAGAACAGGTTGCCATATAAAAGAATCGTAAAGGGACCCCCTTCCCCATGCAAATTATGTCATATAACGCATATGACTGTAAAGTTTCTCTGCGGAGCTGCCAAATAACTCGATGCCAATATTTTATGCGGTAACATTTTGTTAAATGTTGACTCGATGGCCACTTGACTCCATCTTAACTGAGGGCTCCCGTAACAATCATCCTCCAAATGAAATTTTACCCCCTCTCCCTTTAAAAGGCGGTGGGGACCAAAACATCACTTGGTCACTGAAGTCACCAATTCCTTCCTCTCATCTGGGGCTCCCAGCACAGTTTTAGGGGTTCCCGCACTCCCTGCCCGGGTTTGGGCGCGAGAAGCGCCCGCCTGCGCCCTGCGGGACCTGACCCTGCCG